AAATTTACCTGCTTCGTTTTAGAAAGGAATGATAAAAAAGCTTGAATTTGTGTATCCCGTCTCAGAAAGTAACAATAAGAAAAGCGTAATTTTACGTGGACCATCTTAGCAAGTGATGATAGAAAAGCGTATATTTTTGTGTTTCGTCACAGAAAGTGACAATAGAAAAACGTAAATTTAAGTTGACCGTCTTAGAGAGTAGCGAGAGAAAATGTAATTTTATGTGGCTCGTCTTAGAGAGCGACGAGAGAAAAACGTAAATTTACCTGCTTCATTTTAGAAAGGAATGATAAAAAAGTGTGAATTCGTGTATCCCGTCTCAGAAAGTAACAATAAGAAAAGCGTAATTTTACGTGGACCATCTTAGCAAGTGATGATAGAAAAGCGTATATTTTTGTGTTTCATCACAGAAAGTGACAATAGAAAAACGTAAATTTACTTTGCCGGTCTTAGCGAGTGATGAGAGAAAAACGTAATTTTAAGTGGCCCGTTTTAGAATGGGATGATAAAAAAATGTAAATTTTTGTGTCCCGTCTCAGAAAGTAACAATAAGAAAAACGTAATTTATCGTGTTCCATCTTAGAGAGAGGCAATAGAAGAACGTAAATTTACGCGACACGTCGATAAAGTGTTAATATGCTACAAATAAAACACTTTAAGGAGTTTTTCAATAACCATTGGACTCTTTATGAAGAATTCTTGAAGAGGGCAATTTAATGTACTTATTTCCAAAAACCTTCCTTTTAATAACCTATGATTTTTATTACTTATGGAAATATTCACTATATTATAATTTAATAAGCCGATAAAATAGTTTCAAATATTAAGAGATCTTTAATAACAATTGCTCGTAGGTTTCATCTTGCGGCAATTTTCACTAAATTGAAACCTTGAAGATGGGCGATCTCTTCGTATCCAAGTAGCCTTCAACTTGATCTTTTGATGAAAATTCGGCGTGTCTTTAGAGAGAGTATCACGAACTAATAATAACGTAAGAGGTGGTTCCTATTGTGAAAGATGCTTACTTATTATGCATATTTAATATCTTATTTGTAATGCAAAAATCCTTGACATTCACTGTATTTTATTTTTTGTTCTTGGAGGAATTAATTTTCTTTCATTTGGCGTTTAACAGATCAGATAAGCAGACTCATAAATATGGAGCGAGAAATAGAATTATTCTCCTTTTACTTTAGCAAACGAGTCATATATTTGTTGAAAATTACCAGCTGAATTTAAATATGAATAAAGTATAAAAATATTTGCTTATAGTTTTCACTTAACTGGAACATAATCCATTTGCGTAATTAATATTTATTCATGTTTGTATGATTTATTTGAAATTTTAGTTAGTTCTAAGTATTTAATTTAATTTTCAAATTTGTTTGAATTTATGAGATGAGTTATGACTTAAAAGAGAATTTAAGAAGTATTAAGCATTGCGAAATCATTAAAAAAATATTCTGCATTAATATATTCATTAATTAATAATCGAGTGAGTTATTTTCACTTATCTATGATAACATTTTAATCCATTTATGTAATTAATATCTATTCATGTTAATATGATTTATTTGAAATTTTAGTTAGTTTTAAGAGTATTTACTTTAATTTTTAAATTTGCTTAAATTTATGAGATGAGTTATTACTTGAAACAGAATTTAAGAAGTATTAAGCATTGCGAAATCAATTCAATAATATTCTGCATTAATATATTCATTAATTAATAGTGGAGTGAGTTATTTTCACTTAACTATAATAAAATTTTAATCCGTTTATGTAATTAATATTTATTCATGTTTCTATGATTTATTTGAAATTATAGTTAGTTCTAAGTATTTAATTTAATAACTCAATTGCTTTTGAATAAAGATGAGTTATTAATTAAAAGAGAAGTAAAATATTGAGCTTTCCAGAACCAGCTTTCACTATTATTTTCCGTTAATATATTCATTTATTATTTACAAACAAATTAAATTTAAATGGAATGTGAAGATAATTGTTAACATTGATACTATAGGCCAGTGTTGCTTTGACCTAAAAGTGGGAAAAAGCTGTTTCATTTTTTATGGTATTCAAATAAATAAAGAGAAAGTTTTGATTTTCAAAAATAGAAGGGACTTTAAGTACAAGATATTTTGCTGTTGTTTTAAGTTGTTGTACAATTGTTGTAAGTTGTGTTATAATTTTTACGTTGTTTAGTAACTTTTACAGAACATGAACGTAAAACTTATGTTACGTTAATTAGTTATTGTTAAGCCTAAAATAAACTTCAATTACAGATTTTAATTGAACAAGCATATCTCATGTATACATCCTTTAAAAACTTAATAAAACCCACTTTAGAACTGTTACCAAATTTAGTAGCAATCGAATTAATAAATACAAGGTTATGAAATTAATAAAGATAAACGAATCGTAGTGTTGCTTTCGCATTGTCAATCGTACTGTTATTATCAAATTAACTTTATAAGTTTCATATATAAGTTATAAGTTTTATAAAAATTTATAAGTTTAATATGGAATTTTTGAGATATGAAACATTTTGTAATGGTAAATAGAAATATTATGCTAGACCTTAAGTAATTATTAGTCCTTATAATAACTTAATTATTAAAGCCACTCTTCCAAATCTCTTACTTGTTGAAACTCTTTTTTATTATTATTATTTTTAGGCAAATAAATGGAATGGGAAGATAAATGGTGTCTGAAAAGTTTTCTAAAATTTGAGTTTTGCTGTTGCCATTTTTACAACAAAATACCACCAACGAAAATAACACGGCAGCATGACAAGGTTGTTAAATTTGTAGCATAATTCAAAGAAACAACGCATTTTCACAGTTGAGCATTATTTTAAATATAGTTAAGCTACTTTCTAGTCATGTAATTCCTGTCTTGGTTAACAAAACCTTTTGCTCAGATCATGCAATTTAGTAACCTAAAACATTTCTCTTTATTTTTCTTTCGTACGTTTTTTTATTTTTTAGGTTTATACTAAACAGTGTAAAATCCACCACGTCCTTTAAGAATGAGCGCAATCGGGATATCTATCAACGAAATTCAGCTACATTTATGCTAAATGTCTCATTAAAAACTTCAAGAAATGAAAATGTACGCGAAAGCATAACGAGAAGACTAGTTACTTGAAATGCCATTTCATATACAAAACTAAACTGTATACTTTATGAATCAATAAAAAAATTCACAATTTCCAAATAAAAAAGTGTGTTTTCTATCAAAATTAGTTAAGTGAAGTTTGTTTATAACTAGGTGAATGCTCGTTCTTCGTAAAGGGAGAAAAAAAGTAAATAATTAATAAATCGGTGTTATAATGAACACTACGAAATAATGCACAAAACTGAAAGCATATACTGACGCAATTAATTGAAATTATCCAACAATTAAGCTAAAACATTTCCATTTTTTTTTTGCCCTTCCCGATGGCTTTATGCTATGATTTATTTTCATGAACATTTTTGGAAACATGTTTTTAGAATATGTTTTAAGTTTTTAACATGTTTGTTGGCAGAAGAAATACATGATTTTAAAACTTCATCCCATAGAAATATGTTTTTAGAAATTCATCCCATAAAAACATGTTTTTAGAAGTTCATCCAATAAAAATAAAGATTAATCTTCCTCGGTATCATTTAGCATAAAGTTAGAGGAGTTCCTTGAGGTCAACTTCTGTGAGTGAAAAATTACCATGATTAACAATTTTTTTCGGTACTTACTCCTTTCGGTAGGGCATAAAAACCAACTTCCGCAGTAACCATTATACCTTGGTACCAATATTAGTAAATTTTTTTTAAAAAACACCAATTTTCATAACAGCAGTAATACCTATTACTAAAATTAATTAAGCATCATTGGCGTCAATAATATAAAGCGATGGTGTATGGTTTTTCCGGATATGTACCTTTTCCCTATTAATTTAGCTTGTTAGAATAAAACCTTTTTTTTAAATTTTAATTTGTACCTATTTCCAAAACTAATTCAGCATCATTGGAGTTAATAACAATATGGTAATTTTTACTACTCTCATATACGAATAAGAACCCTTTCTCCATTAATTTAGCTTTAAAATGCAAAACTTTTTTTATTTTAATTTATACTTATTACAAAAATTAATTAATTCTAATTTTCGAAAGTAATTAGTAACGTCGCTAATATTTTTATGATCATTTTTGGCGAACGAAATAATATCGGTACTTTTTTAATTGAAAGGCTTTTTTAATTGAATACTAATATCAGGTACAGAACTATTTTTATCAAACTTGATTTCATTACCGAGCAGTTTTGACTTATCATATGATGTTCTGAAATTGTTTAACACATGTAACAGAAATGATCACATGATTATTAAATATTTTTTTAATAAAATAATTTCTAGACCATCTCATAGTTTAAGTATGATGCTTTTTTAGCTTTTTGCTTTTATTCTCTTCAAGATAAAATCATCTTGATTAAAACAAATCATACACATTTCTAATATTTTTGATATTTCACTGCGTAAAAAAAGATGAGATGTTTTCAGTGAAACTCGAGGACATTTGATTGCATGTATTAAGATTTGAGGATATTTTCAGTCCTAAAAGAGATTGAAATATTTTGAATACGACTATTGAAATTCGAGAACTGGTCTCAAGATTTAAGAACGTCTGGTTATCTTAATTATATATCAAATTTAAGGGCTGAATAATTTCTGACGTATATTAAAGTGAAAAGATGGCAGTGCCTTTGGAGAAATATAAAGTTGTTGTAAAGTAATATATATATAGCGTAAAGTAATGTATATAGTGTTTGAACAGCAATATATATAGCAACGCATTGAAATACGTTTCATCAAGTTAAGTTTTCTATTTCGGACAAAAGCGTTAAACGCTACCTTTATTTTTGACCTTTATTTAATTCAAGATAGAGGTCGCAACAACTTCTGTAATAGATTAAAAATGGCAGTTTTCATTAAAAAAAGAATTTTTATATAAAAAAAGGCATTTTTTTTATTTGTCTTTAATCAATTTATGTTACTCTTTAATATTTCCAAATTTAAAATAGGAAAAAATTGTTATTCAAACAAAAGTCTTTTTTTAGGTTATTTTCTAATAAAAGTTTCGGGAAATATATTTCTTTTACATATTTATCAAAGATCAAGTCTAATTTATCAAAAAAGTCAGATTTAAAATAAAACTTAACGCTTTTAAAATTTTTGCAGCTTGTTGAACCATAATATCGATCATATTATACTTAACATTGGCTTTAATGCAGTCAAACCATATTATTTTACTTCTTAAATTGGATTGAACGTTAATATGGTTCTACTGGTAGGAAAATATGGTTCAACGCAAAACTTTTGTTCAATTTAATACTTATGTTGAATTTAATACTTATGTTCAATTTAATACTTTTATTAAGGATTCAGCAAATTTGTACAAGATTATGGTTGAACGTTGATCCGATTTTTCTGTGAGTGTATGCTTAAGAAATATCCGTCAGTATAATCAATTTAAAACTTTTATTTTTCAGATAAAAGAACAGAAAGAGCAATTTTTATTTTTAAAATGCATATTAAGATAAAATCTTTAAGATTCAAAATAAGGTCATTTTAAAGCTTTGAATATTTGATCAGAATCTTCTTCTTGGTTTTCTTTTCATATAACACTCATCATTAACCTGAAAATATATAAAAATTGTTTTAGTAACACGAACAAGTTAGTATTTTCAATAAATTCTATGTTACAAATAAATTTAATATTGATGATTATTTTTGATTGTGAATTCAAATCGAAATTATCACAATAGAATTAATGTTTTACGAGAAACTTAGGAAACAGAAAATGCTCGTCATATCTGGTGTCTAGCTAAACCCGAATTCATGGTTAGTAAAAAAATATGTAAATTTATATTTTATTAAGAAGAACAAGTTAGTATTCTCAATAAATTCTTTGTTCTAAGTAACTTAAATGCTGATAATTATTTTAGTTTTTGAATAAATCAAAATTGTCATTAAAGTTAAATTTTTATTTAACGAAAGACTTGAGAAAAAAATGTTCCTTGAAAAATGTTTGTCGCTGGTTAGATCTGGAATCGGAATTAATGGTTCTTAAAAAATTGGTATGAATTTATATTTTAGTAACACAAGTTATTATTTTAAGCAAACTTCATGTTCTATACGACTTTTATGCCGATAGTTATTTCAGCTTTTGCAGTCAAATCAAAATTATTACAGTAGAATTTTTATTTAACGAGAGGATTGAGAAACAGAAAATGCTTGTCTAATTTAGTCACTGGGAAAATCCGAATTCATGGTTAGAACAAAAAATATTTTAAGTTATATTTAAAAAAACACGAAAAAATTAGTATTCTCAATAAATTATTATGTTCTATACAAATTTAATGCCGATGATTATTTTAGATTTCGAGTTCAAATCAAAATTATTATCCCTGTAGAATTTGTATTTAGCGAAAAGCTTGAGGAACGGAAAACGCTCGTCAATTCCAAAGTGAACTTGTTCCAGATGATTTTTAGTCAGAAATTAAGACATTTAGCTAACATTGATTGCTTAGTTTACCTTTACAATATTTATTCTCAATTAATTTTCATCATAATACATTTAGTTTATTAAATGTTTCATCATTTTTACTTTCTATAGCTTCAAAAAACTGTTGACAATTTTGTAATGAATCCAGAAATACTAAAATATATTAATATTTTTAACAAAACTTACTCTGTTAAAGTGTAAAGTCTTTGTTTAAGCAATGCATCATAAGTTTATCGTTTAATGTATCGAAAGACTCTTTAATAATTTTAAACGGATATTTCATGTTTCCAAATTTATTATAAATCCAAGAAAAAAAAGTAAAAAATTGCTCGCTCATAGAGTACACTTGTATGCATTTATAAACATTGTACCAAAAAAAATTTAAATTTTACTCGTTAAATACGGGATTATAACTGGGTTATACTGTATTACATAAATACTATATTGAATTCAAATCAAAAATTAAATTTCATAACCAAATTGCAATCAATCAATATGTGAGAGCTTAAAAGTTGACAAGTTTAGAAAGAAACAATGACTACCTACTGGTTATTGAAATTAAGTATTCAACGAGCATGAGAGTAAGCATTAAACCGTTTTAGGTGTCTTACTTTACTTATGTTCGGCACTTAAGTATTTAATTAGGAGATCTTATTGGAATTTTAAATAAGACCTCCTAATTGCCTAAATTTTTTCTCTTGTTCTCTTGTTCCAGGATAAGAGAGAAGCGGAGTTGTAAACGACAAAATTGCAAGAATTGAGAACAAAATTTTTAAGTATGACTTTAACTAAAAAAAGTTTGAAAAATTTAAATGAATTTAGTTTCAAAAAAAATAAAGTGGAGAAAGTTGTATCATTCAAAGAAATATTAAATATAATTAAAAAACAAACAGATTTTAGTTTTTCTGTTTATTTCTTGCAGTAGTAAGGAAAAGCCGTATTTCAAACTGTCCTTTAGTAAGCATAGAGAATAAAGATTTCAACAACCATTTTTAAATTTTTTTCAATTAAAAAAACTTACATTTCATATATTTAATCGTATTTAATTTTGAAAACATGAAAGAGAAAGTGCTTAATCATTAAAAGAAATAATAAACCTGATTTTAGAGAACTAAAAATAATATTTTTCACATACCGTTCATTCACTTCTTCCAGTAGTAAGGCAAAGCTGGGTTGTAAGCAGCGTAGTTGTAAGCATAGGGATAAGAAGCAGCTGGAGCTCCATAATAGTAGTTGTAGTTGTAAGGGTAGTATTGCGCATATGCGCAAACCACCAAAGCAACAACGACCAAGAGAGCAAACTGCAACATAAAAAATAAATAAATAAACAACTTTGCTCTTAGCATATCAAAATGAAAGAGTAATATTTATCGCAGAAACTGAATTACGCTCATGTACATCTTCATATTTATTTTCTAAACGTTATACTTGATCTTATTTATCACTGAAAGAATGTTGCATTCCCTGTAAAAAATTCCGGATCAAATTACGGTAAATAAAACAGGAATTTTGGGTCCCGGTTTTTTGACTATAAAATTCCTTTTTACCAGAACATATTACGGATTTAAAAATCTGATATACGATAATTTTTGCAGTGATGATTACGTAAAATCATTGAATCACTCTCTATAAACAAATATTACTGTAAAAATTATGGAATAATATTTCGTGTTAAAAAAGGATTTTACGGTAAAATGGAGTATACGGGCTATGCAACCAAAGTGCTGATACTTTATACCGTAATTTGACCTGAAATTTCCTTACACTGTTCCAGATCCCATGCTGTAATGAAATATTTTGCTGTTTCAGTCAGAAATTATTATATCGATTTTTAAAAATCGTGTTTATTAATCCTCTTTTTACTTCCTGAATATTTTAATACGATTTTTTGAATTCGAAAAAAAAAATTTTGAAATAGAAATTTACGAAAAATTCTATCGGCCAAAAAATTGTTTTTGGATTCAATCAAACCAAAAATTGAATTTACTGAAAAAATACACAAAAAAGAAGAAATTTTTGAAAATCTTTTGTTTTTCAGAATACAATAGTAATGTAATTTCAAAACAAAAGTAAATAATTCATTTTGTTGATTAATACTAAGTTTTTTTCCCTATGGCATGCTAGACATTTGCTTGATTAAGAATTTAATAAAAATGGCCTTGATTTTAAAATTAAAAAAAATAAATTGTGATTTATAAGAATAGAAGCTTGCATGTTCAATCCAGTGTTCTTTATGCCTGGAAACTGCACGTAATTTGTTTTAATTTAATATAAATCTTATATATTGAAAATTGGTAAAGTAAAAAAAAAGTTAATACTTTAAAGAATATATTCAAAACAGAGATAACTGTAACCATTAAAATATTGCATAAATAGGCATTATTTAAAAAGCAAGTATGAATAAACCATCTGATACAAAATAAAATTTGGTAAAAAAACTTTTTTAAAGTTGACTTACTTCTTTTAAATTAAATTATTTACCCTTTACCAAGTGATAAAAATTTTTGATATTATATGAAGGTACATAGAAAATTACATATCTTCGATTTCATGTAAATTTATGACTCAAAAGATATTAAATATTAGACAAAAGCAAAATGTATTACACTAAAATAGATCGTAAATATGAATTAAATTTATTTAAGTTGTTTTCAGAGGATTTTTCAAAACTACTATGCATTTCATTGTATAAAAATATTTTAAAATACTTATGTCTTATGAAGTTAAGAGTTTTCGCAGACTTTTACCAGACCAATGCTTTAATTAAAGTATTATATTTTAAAAATGAATTTAAGCTATCATTATAAAAAAAAATTAATTCGCATTTCTTGAAAGTTATTCGAAAACAACTTGAAATGTAAACTATGCAACTCTAAAACAACTTTTACTATCGATGTTTCTTTTTTATTTAAGATGGTTTTTAGGATGAAAAAATTCTTATTGCTATTTTTATTGATAAAAAAAATTTATTGTGTCAAGAAAAAGATACGTTATTACTGGAAAATTTTTATGAAGCTAAGCTCCATTTAATGCTAATTATTATTTTATTATGTAAAAAATTTAAATTAGAAAATATTCAGTAAATAATAAAGAATGCATATTGGCCTAATATAATTTCTATAACTTATTGGTTTTAGAATATTTAAAATAAATAAGTACTTTAAAATGAATAATTACGATATCCCTCAGTGAAACTATTTGCACAAAACACTTCTGAAAAATATAAAATGCTAGTAAATTGTAATCAATTTTAGCTATTCAATTCAGTTTTTTCAAGAAGGAAATTTCAGTAATATATTATCCAATTTTTTAATTGAAAATATTGGGGGGAAAGTTCAATATACACTGAAAAAAAAAGTTTGGTCAAAACTACCAGAATGTGGTAAAATCTACCATGTATTTGGCTCCATGGGAGCATCAAGCAATTTTTATCGAAGGGCTTTGGTAAGGATTTTGGCAAAATTAACAATGTAATATAGTTTTGTAATGTGTGATAAAATTTGATAAATGTGGTGAAATTCGGTAAGTTAATCATGATACCTTAGAGCATGTAATATAAACCATTTATTCGGTTAAATTTACTTTTCAGTTTTGTATTTTTTACTAAATGTAGTAAGAATTATAATTTTGAAAACCAGAATTTTCGCTAAACCATTACCATACGAACGGGAAAACAACCAAATGAATGGTTTTAATTAATAGAATTATATTTATTTTTAATTTTTAAATTTTTTCTACAAGATATGTTATTTACATACCGTACGATAATTTTACATGAATTGTTTCTCACCGTATAATGTTACAGAAGCAATAAAAATGATTATACTTTATATTACTTGAAAGATACACAGTATAAAAAATATATTTAGATTTCAAATATCTTTGTTTATTTTGGATGGGGGGACTTTAAGGATACATTAAATAATGATAAAGTTTTTGTAAATGGTACATTTTAGTTTTTAGTTGAATGTTTGGTAATCTTAAATATAATAAGAGGGCAATGAAACTAATTTATGCTATATATTAATTGAAAACATTTTAAGAGACATATATATTTTGATAATTTAGTAGCCTTTTAAATTTTTTCATGATTTATTGATAAATTTAACTAAAAGACTCACCAAGTAATGCATGTTGAAAGAGTACTTTTCTAGCTTGAAACTGGAAAGTATAACAATGATTTTTTCTAAGCGGTATTTATACTCAATTGGAGTGGAAAAAAATTTAATCAATTGTATAAAAAACTAGTTTATTTTGAAGGTTATTCATCATCTTTGAGAAAAACCTCCTATAATTTTTTTTAAAGGTGGGGCTCATCTAACTTGTATATCTACATTAAAACTCAAAGAAACCGTTCTTTTATTTTTTCCTACTTCTTTGATTAAAAATAAATGACGTAAAAAATCTTTAGGAAGAACAATAATGAAGTAGGCGCCATCTCTTAATTGTTACTCTATGTGTCAAAAATGATTAATGTTTTTTTATTTTAAAAGATATTACTAGTTTAGAATTTTAATCAAATTTTTAAGGCTAAATGTTTTTTTTTCTGGTTAGAATAATTAATTTAAAGGAATATCTGGTTTTTCGGATGTATCATTTTCAGTTTCTTTTTTGCTTTACTTTGCGTATTCTGGTAAAATTCTTGTATGGTAATGACATTTCTGGTAAAAAAAGCAAACTAAACAAACTTAATTCTGATATTAAAAATCAAAGTATAAGGTAATTAAGCCATTCACTTGTTAATTTTTCCGTTCATATGGTAGCAGTTCACTGGATTTTCTAATTTTCAAAATTACAGTTTATATTACGTCTCTTTTAGTAAAAAGTACAAAACTGAAAAATAAATTTAAGCAAATAAATGGCTTTTGTGCCATGCTCTCATCATTTAAAAAAGTATTAATTCAAAATAACCTAATTTTATTACATATTATGAACCATATTTTATTGTTAATTTTACCAAAACACCTCGGTAAAAATTACCAAGCTCTTTGGAGTTCCGAAAATACCAGAAATATCGTGAATTTTACCATATTTTGTTAGTTTTGACAATACTTTTTCTCTCTGTGCATTCAACTCAATAGAGGGCAAATTTAACATGGTGACAAACTGAACCATATTACAGGCACTGTATTTTACATGATTAAACCGTATTTTACTTGATTAAAAAATGTCTTGATAGTTAGCAGAGAGCTTGATTAAACATGAGGAAATCCAGGTTCGATTTTCGGGGTTGCCCGGTTGATGGGTAAATTACGATTTGCTTGAATCGATCACTTTCGTGACGTAAATCATAGCCAGTGGTAGACGATTCATGGATAAAAATTCCCTTGCCTTCGGGCTAACTGTGAGAGGTCCTCCTCCCCATATGACGTAAATGCGATTTAGTTACACCAAAAATTTCTCTATGAAGAACATTTGTCCCAATACTTGATCAAAAAATTCTTTTGCCCTCTGGGTAGTGTTCAAAGTTATGAGGTGACAAATTAGTGATTAAAATCGGATAATAAATATCTCCAGTTCCCATAGAGCCAGAAACGCAGTAAATTGCAATCTATTCTAGTAGTTTTGACCATACTTTTTTTCTCCTTGTGGAAGTTTGTTTACAACAATTGCATCTAAATCAGTTTGATATCAGTTTTATAGATACAAATTTTAAACAGAAAAGCATTGCGAAATTAAAAATATGATATATTATTTATCTTTTGCATTTATATTCGACACATTTTAGTCACAATTTATTCCCAGTTTTTTTCAGTATTTCGTATATGAATATTAAATGTCGTTAAATCAATCGGAGGAATGTTAAAAAATTGTTGCTTTAAAGCTTGTATGAAAGTAATAATTTGTGTGTAATAAGATGGGTAAAAAGAAGAATAAATAAATTAAAAGTAAAGTAGAATGCTTATGTTACAAAATACTTTAGTAAAATACATTTTCAACTTCCACTATAAAAGTTTTAAAACCAGTTGTGGGAATAATATGCATTAAGTAAAATTTTTCAATCAGAAAGTATTTTTAATGAGTCTTTTTCTTCATATACTTATGTGTTAGAATACTTTTGCTCATTTCATAGTAAAAGTAAGCTACAAATTTTCTTGTCAAATAGGTAGTTTAAATAATTATTTTGTTATGAAGTTTATTCTTCAGAAAATATAATTATGCAGATATTTGTCTAAAAGTATACAAAAGCACATTTATTTGAAATGTTACAATTACCTTCATTCAACTACCATTTTGCATTTAAATTTATTTATATATATTTTTAATTCAGGGGGAATCCATTTTTTCTTGTTGTATGCCTGTTTAGGCAGTGGGGGTGCGATTGTTCCTGTTTTTCAGTGGCGTCATCTATGGCCAGGAATTCGACTTCTGCCACGCCATTCACGCAACCACAACCCGTTTATAGGGCGGGTCACATTCACACGCAAAGGAGAAAGGACATAGAACGTACACAGAGAGATAGAAACATCCATGCCTTGCCCGGGATTCGAACCCAGGATCTTTCTGATGCAAGGACAGTTCCCTGCCCCATGCACAGGCAGGTCGGCGGGGGAATCCATACAGTGGTTATAAGCTTATGGGAGATCTAGAACTCACCACGAAGATGCTATTGTAACCCGCTAGAGTCGCTTATTCCCTAATGCGGACTTCCAATTTCTTTGTACTCTTATTTATTTGTACTTAACTCTTTTTTAAGAAAAAATCCGTACTCAATTTTACGTTTCTTCATAATTAGTATAAAAAATTGCATTCAAAGAAGACCAGAAATGTCTGTTTTTTTGTATTTTACTGATTCGACAAATGATTTGATAAGCTCCGAAAGTTAGTCTCCAAATCAGTAAATAATGGTAAAAAATTTAAATCTGGACAAATTTAAATGCAATAATTGATAATAATTACTAAAAGAAAATTTGCCTGAAGTTAAGGAACTTATCTAAAACTAAGAAATTTATGTTAGTAATATATTATTAATTATGATAGCATGAACAACCATTATATAATCGGATACTTGCAACTCAAGAAAAAGTAAATTGATTATGACTAACCATGCGATTTAAATTATAATTAATGGGATACCTGTAAGCGATGTCATGCGTGTGTGAAAAGACTGATTGGCTTCTGAATAGAAAAATGCCAAAATTTACCACTTGCAGGTATCTGATTGAGAAGTGCCACTAGTGGCGTATGATGACACTTCCACCCACGGATTTCAGCGCAGTCCTCAATCATTATGATGTACAGTGAGCAAAAAAATAATAAACGGACCACCCTGAATATTTTTTGATCTAATGGTCGGATCTTCACATTCCAAGACTCAATTTTAATGGTTCGAGAAAGAGACCTCAAATAGACCAATTAATTAGTGCAGACGATATTTTAAATTACAAAATCAGACACAAAACGCACTTTCTCAGAAAAAAATTCATTTTTTTCGAATTTTCATTATTTTATCGAATTTTCATTTTTTCATCGACGAATTTGGATTTTTGACCCTCAAAATACAGCGGGGAGCCGCTGAAATATTATCCCTATAGGTTAGTCAGGAGAATCGAGGCTGTTCGATTTAGGTAACTAAATGGGCACGATTTATTTGCCTAAATCGTGCCTCGCGTAGCAGTATGATTGATTAAATTGAAGCAGTATGATTTAGAAGCAACTTATCAATATCCCCAATTGAATAGGTTGTTTTTCAAACGCTTAAAACTAGATCTATCCATCTAGTTTTAAACGCTTAGAACTTAGAACTAGATCTTAAGATGATCTATTTCTGGTTTTCTGGACTGATTTTTACCCAATACCAAAGTTCCCATCGAGGGAGTAAGGCTAATAATAAGATTGAAACCTTTTTGAAAAGAAGTAACTATTCTCAAGCGTTTATCTTTAATTAAGCTGACTTTTTGGCAGTGGGAAAAAAACTTTACTTAAACCAATCGTAAAAAAAGACGAAACTAATTCAGTAAATTTAATGAGATTCAATTTTCTTCTTCCCAGGTTGGCAAAATTGATGAAAAATATGAAAACTGATGAGCCATCTGGTTAGTCAGTAATGACCTATCTAATAATTATTGGTTAGTATAATGATTTGATGGACTGATATGTCCCAGTGACAATTACAATGAAGACTCCCATCTGAATTATCTCATTTTCAGAACCTAAGAAGAAAAATAACTAGATATAGATCCCAGCTAGCAGCGCTAATAAAAGTCCCGCTTGAACTTTGTTGCACGTAACATAATATTCCATTAACATTTTATAAGCTTATAATAGTGTTATGATACTTATAACAGTTCAAAAATTTTATATCAACTTTCTTATTATGCTAATAAATAATTGTTTTGTGTTACTCGTTTTCTACTTATGCAGTTAATCAAATACTTAATATTTTTGAGGCTATTTAGGGAGCAGATGTTACAAATTAGACAACCGGTTTCTGAAATCGCACCATTTGCAGTCCTTACGAAAACGATTAAGTTTTAGTACTTCTTCATTAATATTATTACCAAAAAACAATTTTAGTACCTGAATAATTATATTTCATTATTAAAGTATTTCAAACGTAATTGTCAATAATTATAGTGTCTGGTGAAAATTTAAGTGTGAAAAATTGTTTGCAATTAAAATTTCTTTACGAAGATTTGTTTTCATCTTTATTAACTTTATTGCAAATTTTATTATGAATTTAAAGTGTTTCACAGGTAAATATTTGTCTCAAGAAAAATATATCTTTCATAAAATCGTTTAAATTTAGAATATGATAAAGTTAACTATGAAGTTTTAGATTATTACAGTTTAAATAGTCGTTGCATTTAAGAATAAAAATTTAAGAACTTTTTTTTTTCGGAAGGAGTAAGTTTTGATTTTTTTACACTTACCTTTCATAGATAGAAACTAATATAGATTTTAATTTTTTTGTTTTTTAATTTAATTAACTCCCCCTAAAATAATTACACTTCTTTTTTCAGGGTTATTAGACAATACGAGGAGTTTGACTGAGTAGTTAATTTACCTTAATGATTTTAACTTTCAACGGCCTTTAAAGATTCTTTCTCTCTCTTTTGAAAGCTTCCTCTTGACTGTAGTTGGATGCAATTATAATGTAAGCTCCTATTTCATTTAAAATTTGCTACCTGAATTTAAAAAAAGTAAAAATTCATGTTTTTCGTTATTTAAAAAAGAGAACGGGTCGTTAAAAGCAGCTGGATGGGAAAATCACGTCGGGGCATTCAAACTAATCTGGCATGCCACTGTAAATGATGCATGTTTGAATAATTTTAATCATGAGCTATCCAAGATTGGTTGATTCTAAAAAAAATTCTTAAATCGTATGTACTAATGTTAGACACACGTTGAAAATATTTTCTTCAGGAAAACTTAGGTTTTGTGATAAAAATTTGTAAAATCAGCATCTAAACTGTTCTACGTTCATAATTTTTATACGATTCTGATTTAAACAATCAAAATTTTGCTGTTTGTAGTAGTTGTAATAGAACTTTCGCACAACGTTTGTCTTACGTTTACCGTAACGCTACATTTATTTTGTCCTTTACACTGCCAGAATTTTCATTCTAAAATTATTGTAAAATAACCGGAAGCAGTTTGTCCATTCAATTAACCGTAAAGTTTACAGTAAAGAACATTTTTTACCTTTATGGTTTTGAATCAATTTAAAAATATGGTTATAAGACCATGAGTACAAAACTACACGGTTTTTTAACCATTTAGAACTAGCATGGTTTCAAAACTGTAAAAAAGAAATTTAACTGGATATAGAAGCTAGGCGTTTCTTTTGGTAATGGGCATTGGAGAGTGCCGGACACTTTAAACTCTTTATGTTTTGAATGAAATGGAGGAAATATTGTGGTGTCAACGCTGGGATTCGAACCCAGTTCTGTGAGTCATGAGACTGACAGATCAGCCGTCTCGGTTGTAACATGTATGCAGTTGCAAGAAACTAAGCGACTTCATTAGGTGGGCTTAGTCAGTGCGATAAAATTCTGGTTGTTTAACCGTATTAGGTGAAAGCAGTTAAGAAACGGCTATTAGCAGTTTGATTACCGTCTTGTTTATGGTTATCCTACTATTTTGTTTGAATATGAACAACTAAATAAATTGTATTTAACCATTATTTCCAAGAAATTTCCAACAGTGTAGGAACACGGTGATTTGTAGGGAAAATTTTGCTTTTGCGCTGTGAAACTCAAATAGCGTTAAGGTTAAAGTTAGGGGGAACCATAATCTTATAATCCATAACCTATCCATAACCTTTCTAATTATTTCTTGAGAAAGTTTTTATAACAAGTTTTCAAGACTTTTTAAAAAAAGAAAAATTGGTTTCATAGAAAAAAATCTCAATTTCACGCAGTAAAATTTGCTTTTCATAAATTTGTGATTTTCCATATGATTAGTGATTTGTTTTACTTCCATTTTTGATAAAATTAAAAGTCAATATTGAAGTGCCCTGTAATTTTTTAGTAGAAAAAATTTATCAATGAGCAATTATTCTTTTCAAAATATGACTCATGCTTTAAATTAATTGTAGAAAATTTAACTCACCTGGAATTTTCTGCAAAATTCTAATTTCTGTTGCTGTTCGTAACAAAGATTATGCTTGGATCCCATAAAGTATGATTTATACACTGAGATAAAAATATGGTTTAAACAACCAGAATATGGTAAAATTTACCGTATTTTTATCTTTATGGGAACATTATAAATCTCGGTAATTTTTACCGAAGCGCTTTGGTAATGATTTTGGTAAAATTAGCAATAAAATATGGTTTTATAATGTGTGATAAAATTTGGTNAGAAACAAAAAACACATGAATATTTTAAATACCGGATATACCAGAATTTTTTTACAGGAAATGTTATTACCTAGTACGATGGTTTTACCAGAATTGTTTCTCCGGGTAACGCTTTTCAAAAATGGTATTCATAAATTAGATGCACATTCCTTGCAAAACATGACTCATGCTCTGAATAAATTGTAAAAACTTTAGGATTTGGGGTGCTGTCCTGTATCATATTAATATTTCTTATGAAACTTTCAGCAAAAAACTAACAGTTGCTTGTTGTAACAAATATGTTTTTAAAAATGTTGTTCATAAACTTTTGGCATTCAGAAAATATACGTTTCTTAATTCAAATAATCAATTTAGCACCACAAATTTGTTTCAGAAGTTTGTTAGATTTTCATCATACATTAAACTAAATTTATCCTAATTAATTATGCAGAGTATCACCCCGAGAATTTATATGAAAAAATAATACAACTTTCAGTTAACTATATTTCCAAATGTTTGAAAATTCAGGATACATTTTTCATCTAGTTGATTTATAATATTACTAAGTTCACTGCAATCTTAATATGGTTCTAGTTTGAACCTTATTATCGTACTTTTTAAACTTATTCACACGATACTGTGGTTCAACTTGGAAGGAAAAAAAGTTCCATTAGAGACTTTGTTAATTTTGTAATTTTGTAGCAATTCGGCACCGCATTATGGTCCAATATACCAATGGTATGGTTCAATGTTGATCCTATTTTTTTTTAGTGTGTAAAAAATGTCTCAACCTTAATATACAAACAATAAAGACTTCGCAAAAAAATAAATAAATAAATAAATTTTAAAAAAACACACACACACAAATGATATAAAAACTGTTGAAAGTAGAGACAATTTTTATTTTTCAGATAAAAATAATCAATAGAATTTGTTTCCAATTGAAATAAGTTTGATTTGTCATTTTAATTAATCTAAGGTATTTTTTTCATTCATCAATATTCTTCTTAGAAAGTGGCCTAGACTGCTCCTGAAATTAGAAAAGCAAAATTATTCATTATAATGAAGCACATATTAATTCCAACATATGAGTTTTATTGTAAGGTTAGGTTTAATTAATTATAGAAGTAAATATTTAAAATTAGATAAATCCTTTTATAGAATCATTTAAAAAAACTGCGCTTTTTTATATCATATAAAAAAATTTTTTTTGTATCAAGTATGAAACCTTTAAGCTCTTTGTGTACTGTAAGAGGTTGTACAACTTTATTCTGAAAGTTTTGGAATTTTTTGTTTGGTATTTAAAGTTGTACGGTATTTTTAAATTTAATCGGAAAATTTTTCAGACTGACTCTAAAGAGTTAACAAATTATTCTTAAAGGATATCGCCTTCGATTCTAAATTCTAATTTTGCTATATCTACAATCTATCTCGAACGAAAAAATAATGAACCAGCAGAATTGATGGGTATTATTTTACTGAAAACATAATACTTTAAGTAACAAAAAAAAACATAATTTTTAGAGAAAAGGACTACATAAATAACGAATTTATGTAATCACTTCCCAATTTCCACTTTTAAGACTTAGTTGTTTAATAAAAAAATAACAGATTAAGATACTTTTCAGTAATTTTCTAGTTCTTTTAAGTTAAGATAGTAAGTTTTCCAATTACACTATTTAATACAGGGAATAATAATTGTAATTCAAACTACTTTAATATTAAGCGACAACAGTTTAAAGAACACAATTAAAGTACAGTTGTTTGAGAAAACAAGTCAATAAATTACTTTTCTTCAAAGTGGTTACAAATTTTAACCTTAAAACTTAGCATAATTGTTACATGTTTTATTGCAACAAGTCATATTTTACTGTTGTACTATAAGACAGTAATTAATTTTTATATACAATTATTAATTATTATCTATAAAAACACATAATAAGGCAATATGGTTAACTTGAGACAATTTGTAGTAAGTTATGTAAAATTCAAAACATTCAATATTTTTTGCTATAATTCGACGTTTTAACTTACATAAATTTTGACGCACTTTTGATGTAAATAATACTTAGAATGAACGTACTCATCCTTAACCACTAAAAAGTGGTCAGTAAAATATTCATAAAAAATAGAATTTATTTACATATAATTTAACGTGAATTTTAAGTTTTTTGGAAAACCATTTTTCGCTATAACCACTTTTCGGAATTGCGTACATTTTACGAATGCTTAGTAAAATTTAAATGAGAAATATGCGTATTTTTGACGCAAAATTGATGTTTTTGAGCAAAATATTAGATAAAATTTTGTTTATGAAATGTTCTCCATAAAATTTTAAATATTTAAAAAATGGGTGTTATAGCTTGAAAACTTTATTTTCCCAAAAATGTCACAAGTAATATTATAATAAAATTCTTAGTATTTTAGCAAATTAATAAAAAGGAAATGCAGTGGAGTTCGGAAAAGTACAAACACAATTATTTTTTTTTCCTTATTGAAAACGTTGCTATGCTATATAACTGTTAAAAAAAAACTTCGACACATGAAAGAAATATAGCAATCTGAAAAATAAATACACTCACCATGTTTTTTTTAAAAGAAATTTAAAATAGCCGCCACGAATCACATGTGACATTTTTTCTTACGGTAATTCGCTTGCAGAATATTAAATATTTATTATTAATTTTTTGTAGTAAAAGTTGAAACATATGGCGAATACATCAGTAAATTACAAAACACAGTAAGCAACCTTGTATAGAGATTCTAACATGACATCTTTGCGTGACAATCATACCAAAGATGATTTCCACTTTTCTGTAAAAAAATGTCGGTCTTTCCTATTCTGTTGACTGTTTTTTATGTAATTTAAATTTGTACTAATGCCTTTCTTATAAGGCAACAATCAATTTATCATAAACTAAAAGAGGCTATTTCACAAACTGACGATAGGTTTTTCCTAAACTATGATATTTTTTCATAAATTAACTTTGAAGTTTACATAAACTAACAAAAAAATTTTCGCACTCTGACAATGAACTTTTTATGATCTAACATAAGCTAAGATTTTTTCAGAAACTGTCATGGAAAGTTTTTATAAAATAGCTGTAGATTTTCATAAACTGAAACTGCATTTTTAAGCTAACTATGACTTAAAGTTCTGGGCAAACATTTCAAATGATTCGTCTTTTATCAATAGAGGTAAACATAGACTTTGAATTCATTGTAATAAAAGGATAAATGATCGTATTCGCTATTATAAAATTTTTATCCTTGTTCTTAAAGTATTAAAAGCTCAAGACAACAATTGCTTTAAATTTTATGTATAATTTTTAAAAGTAATATATAAAATATACAGAAAGGGAAATAAACTTTTTATGAAGTTAAGACAACTAGCGTAAAGATTTTTTTTCGTCGCTACTGTATAAATATGACGGTGTTACTGCATGTATTTGACTTAACATAGCTATAAACTTTAAAATAAGTTTCGTCATTAAGTTGATGAAAACCATTTAATTCCTTTTCTCATTAAAATTAATTAAAATTAATTAATTTTCATTTTTTTTGTATTAATTTAGGTGAAAGAGTGAAAAATACTATATTTAGCATTTTAATAACTTATGGTTTGGTAATACAGCGGGAAACACGTCAAAGGTAAAATCCTCTAAACACTGCTTACTTTAAAAAAAATTTTTTTCAAACAATTATTTGCAGTTATTTAGATCTAAGGGAAACAGTTAGATCTAAGATCAGTATAGGTCTAAGAGAAATTTCTTTAATTTACAAAATGAATTATCGGTAAATATTTAAATATGAATGAAAAAGAGAACTATTATTTTAATGGTATTTTCATAATGAGAAAAATTGTCATTATAAATTTAATGAACGAAGCCAGAATAAATGGTTCTAGGAACAACGAATATTACAGTCAACTTTTTTTTAATTGAATTTGAATTTTACTTAAAAATTTCTAACCTACCTGTTATTAGCTTATTTCTTCCAGTAGTAGGGGTAAGCAGGGTTATATACAGGGTTGTAAGCAGCATAGTTGTAAGCATGACCATAGGAAACAGCAGGAACTCCGTAATGATAGTTGTAGTTGTAAGGGTAATATTGCGCATAAGCGCAAACTACCAAAGCCACTACAACCAAGAGAGCAAACTGAAAAGAAATGAAAAAATTAAAAAAAAAAATGTATCAAGATCTAAAGTCAAAAGGTACAGTTAACTGCCACACTGGAACAGTTCAATCAATAAAGGTGCCATACTTTCAAAAGAAAAATATAAATTTAAATTTAAAAAAAGGGGTAGTTTTTTTAATTCTCGTATATCTTATATAAATTTTTATTCTAAACACAGAAAGATGCATTTAATTGTGAATGCCTTTTGGAAATTGAATTATCATAGTACAGCATAAACTGAATTAATTTGAAACTGAATAAGTTTGATCAATAAAACTATATAGATACTATCTACACAAAACCGCAATTTTGAACTCGTATTTTTTCCAAAATTTTTCAATTTGACTAATAATTATTAATTTCGATTTTTTATGTAGACTAAGTCGAAAAATATTTTGTTCAGCAAAATCATTTTCCCTTAATCTTTCAGAATAAAACCTTATTTACGCAAGATAAAAAAGTAACATTTAATTTTCGGTTAATGTATAATTTTCTACGTGGTTTGATACAGTTGAATAGATTATATTAATTTAAGATCTTAAGACAGTTCAATTTGATAGTAAACAAAAATAAATTGATATTCAACACTAAAACTTCAAAGAAATTCACAGGTTTGAGTAAATAAAATTTATTATAACTGCTTAATTGCCTAAAAAATTTTATTGGGAAGTTAAATGAAGCCTTAAAATTTTTTTAAAACTTATTAAAATAAATATTTGTAAGTATAAAAAATAGAGTGATTATTTTGGGAATTTAGGGGTCTCCATTTAATAATCCCTGTGATTGCTTTTCTTTCATCATTGTTTTTCTTCTTCTTAAAAGTCTATATTTTCCACATAAACAAAAAATATTTTATTAAAGTGTTAAATGTTGCAAAGTAAATTATTACCTTGATTTAATAATTAATAAAATGTATTAGAAAATAAGTTAATCTTTGGAGAGCAGGTGATTTAGTAAGCAAAAATAAATGAGGAGTAATTTGACTCGTTAACGAGACTTATTTTGTTATAACAGATGAAATTGGAAAGGGTTTCTTATCTGTCTTGATTTCAGTTTTTTATATTTTTAAAGAATTTCAATATAAATGTTAAGAGTTATGTCTGACAACAACTAATTTTACTCGCTCTCTCTTTTTGTTGCTTTTGTCACCAACTCAAGCTGGAACTTACAAAGTAAGGATATAAAGAAAGATAAATAAGATTTTCGCTTTAATGAGCTAATAGTAACTATATGAAGCAAAAAGAAAATAAAAACAATTCCTCAAGAAAGCACTTAAATTGCAATAACTTTTGGAAGAATGAATTTTTTTTAAAAAAAATATGAAAAAAAATCGGCTTAAGTCTGCAAATAAAAATCGTCTTTTCAATGCGTCAAATTTCAACAATTTAACTGCCTAACTCTCGATACAAAGCGGCCAGGTGACATTTTTTCTACTGCAAGTTTAACAATGAATAATTCTCGAACCAATTATAGAATGCTAGTTTCTTTTATTCCATCAGACTCCCTATGCATTTTTCTATATATCCTCTTAATTTCAAGTTACTAAGTCTCATACTATTTGCTTAGCAAAGAAAATTGTAACATTAATCAGAATATCCAAGTCAGAGGCGGTATTCTAGTATTGAGGGAAACCTCTTTAAATTTTATCAGAAAACATCTTAAATTTACGGAAATATCTTAAATTACAATGGAAATAATACTCACCAAGTAGTTCATATTGAAAGTTTACTTTTCTCGTTTGAAACTAGAAAGTATACAGAAACCAAAACGAATAGCTTTTTATACTAATCGCAAATAAAAGAAATAACAATAATTTCGGAAACTAGATTAATTTGAAGGTTATATTTCATCTTTGTGGAAAACCTCTTCTTAAGTTTATTTTTGAAAGGTGGGGCCGGATTGCCTTGCCCAAACAACTCTTCCTTAAAACATTTTTTTTCGCTTTTAATTGTAATTGTTAAAATAAATAAATAAATGGGAAATGGTAATTCAAATAGAAAGGTTGGGCAAGATAGACATTCCCCAATGTAACACTTAGTTTATGTTAATCACAAAAACTTGTTCTTTATACTCAAATAAATTGTTTTTATTAATTTGCTAATTTTCGATCATAATTCAATCTTGTAAATTATTCTTGAATGGTAAATTTGCGTTTACAAAATATAAGTTTGTTACTGATTGATAGATTTCTTTTTCAAATTGTGTAGCATCAATACTATCATTCATAGTTAGAATTTGTCACGAATACCTTAAATTTTAAGTTAAAATTTAATTTCTAATTAAAAAAGTAATTTTTTTTGAACTATGTGTTTTGAATGGGTTAAATAAAGAATACATTTTTATTAGTCAGACCTATAGCGAAATTTCGAAAGACTTTGTGACTCCAATTTCAAGAGACATCTATTTTAAAGATATTTTAGTTGCTGATAGAAATTTATTACGTGATGTTTATTGCCTTTTTGTGTTTGATACAAAAATAAGTTACCGATTAAAATAAAAATATTAAGTGTACTTGAAAAACGTAGTTTTAATTTTTTTTTATTTTCTACTTTTTATTTTTTATTTTATTTCTTACGTCCAAAGAGATGTAAATTTCTGTTGGTACCACTAATAAGCACATTCAACTTATCACAATCTTAGAATTGCGATACATTTTATTTGTACCACTAAAAAAACCTATTATTTTGACTGACATTAGGCAAGGAGCTTCATTTAAAATTTGAGCGTTACAGGTAATTGGAAAGAGATCGCAAATTTGATTGGTAATAAATGATAAAGTGATCAGTCAAGTTTCACTAGTTTATACACAAAAAAGAGTAGAAACTTGTTATCTCATCAAGCACAGATTTCCGACTGAGATTTAAGCACTCTTGTTAGTCGGAAAAAGGTCAGAGTCTTGATTGACGATAAATTCTATCAGGGGATTAAATGATGGTAAATTCTATTTGTATGATTGAAACTTACATTGTTATCAAGTACAGAGCTCAAATAGTGATATGAGGGCTTTGGCTAGTCGGTAAGTGGTAGAAATTTGAACGCAAGATGCCACTGGCACTCACAAAAGTAAGTCAATAGAATTATATTACAAAATTACTAATTATATATAATTCATATCATAATATAATACATAATATCATAATATACTTTATATACTTAAAATTACTAAATTACTTTCAAACATAGGCTGAAATAGAAATATCAGTTAAATGTGACAAGTTAGAGTTTTAATGCTATGATCACAACTACTAATGGTTTTTTTTTATTTAGTCTTTTGCTTCAAAATGTTTTAGGTCAAATTAAAAAACTTGAAGACTTTATTATATTTTCTATAAGACTTTTATCACAATTATTATAAAAAAAGAGAAAAAAGAGCAATATCAGCACATTGCATTTTACGGATAAAAATTCTAACTTCGTGAATAGTAAACATAAGATAAATTTTTTAAGATATTGAAGATGTATGATTTTTTTAAACATAAAAAGAGCCTAATTGAAAAATGTTCTAACTCGGCAATTTTCAAATAATTAAGATTTCTTGGGGATGAATCTTAGTTTGATTTGACAAAATAAAATTGCATTAGTTTGTCAAGTTTCAAATTTTGAAGATCTCAGTAGTATTGAGTAACAAACTTAGGGCGCTTTCGGTAAGGTAAAAGTTCCAGGAGTGTTCAGCAACAAACAATCAACGATCAACTTAAAGCATCTCTCTTGGCGGATTAAAACTCCATGGTATAAACAATATGACAATATTCAAAAAGTTTAAATGGGCATTACTAATGTATAGATTTTGCCAATTAGAAGCTTTCAGACAAAAAATAATGTAATATTTTTTTTCATGTCATTATCTCTTTTTATCATGGTGTAAACTTTAAAGATCATTTACTTATTCACTAAAATGTCATATACAACTTCACCCCTACACCTGTCACCCCTACCCTTCACCTGTCATACACAACTTAATTTTTCATATTTAAATGAGTTCTTCACAATGAACTTTGAAATATTATGGAAATATCCTACTATTTTAGTTCTGTTACATAACACTAAATAGGACTTTAATATATGATATGACTAGCAAAAGGGATATTTTCTGTCTACACTGAATATAAGTGAATCAATAACAGGCTTAGAAACTAGGTCATTGGTGTTAGAAACAAGCTCTTTCATTCCTAAGTAAACGCTGTTAAGCAGTTTTTATTGAACTATTCTTCGACATTAACCCTTCAAACTCGAGAGGTGTTTCATTACCACAAATAAAATGTCTACCTCCTTAAATATCTCAGAGTTGACTAATCGTAAAAAACTACGTTGTTTGCACTACACGGTTAGAATTTTCCTTCTAAAATTGTGGCAAAATATCCGGCAGCAGATTGTCCATCCAAGTTTACGTTGTAGAACATTTTTTAATTTACAGTTTTGAAACCGTTTGCAACTAGTAGGGTTAAAAACCATGAATACAAAACTATGCGGGTTTTTTAACCATTTACAGTTAGCATAGATTCGAAACCATAGAAAGAACTTCAGCTGAACATTGGAGATGATTTAGCTGCTTTAGAGTGCTGCCATCTGCACGTGAATGAGAGCAGCGCATATTCTTTTCCCGAATCCCAAATTGGGGAGTGCTGGACACTGAAATTTTTTCATGTGTCGAAGGAAATAGAGAAAATATTGTAGTATCAATCTGGGACTCAACTCCGTTCGGTCGGTCATGAGATTGAGAGTTTAGCGGCCTCTGCCATGATATACACCCGATTGCAAAGATCTAAGTGGCTTCATGAGGTGAGGCTGGTTGGTGCGATATAATTCTGGTTGTTTAATCAAACTAGGCGAAAAAGCACTTAATGTACGATTTTTCAGTTAACAGTTTAAAGGCAATATTATTTATGATTATTTGACTATTTATTTGAATATGGTAAAATATCATTTAAATAAATTGCTGTTTAATCATTTTTTCCTAGAAATTTTCCAACAGTGTATCAGGTTTAAACTTTCTTAAGGTACACTTAAGTTTTCTTAAACCAGATTTTTGAATGCTTAAGCCTTCTTAAACTGCTAATAAAAACAAAAAATATTGTTCCAATAGCTTAGTCAGTTAGAAAATCGATAATTTTCATTTCACTTTTTGTTTATTTCGCTATATCTTAACTTTTAAGCGAATGGAATGTAGGACATGATGTATCATTGCCACCGCCACTAAGTAAAGCTTCCTAACTCTCCCGGAACTAAGCTGTACAATTATAGTTGTTAGGATAAACTACTTTAAACCCTGTATTACTTCGAAAAAAACCAACTACTTCAAACCCTTGATTCGAATCCTGACAGAAGCCAACGAACATATGTCTCACTTACTTCTGCTTTCACACGCATTTTGTTCAAAAATAAGTAGTACTATATTTACGTCACACCAGAGGTGCACAATGGGCTATTGTTGACGGTCTGGGAAACATACATGAGGATGAAACAACGAAGACATGCCATCGCAATTTTGAACCTCTGCAGAGGGGATGACTCCCCTGCTTTGTTACCCCGACAACCTGAGAGTGAAGTTCAGCCCTTTACGGTAGAACAGTTTAACGAGGACTGATACCGCGCTCCCTCGGACCCTACGCAGGCTGATCAAAGTGGTCCCCCACCCGCTTACTGTCCGCAGCCAGTGATGCCGAAAGGAGAATATGCTGTTTCAATTTTGAATATATGGTGTTTCCAAATTCTACAATTATTTGTTTCAGAGCTATTTTGACACATTTTTGATTAATTTTGAGAAATCCACATGATTTCAAAGCATGATTTTTACAAAGCATGTACAAAGCATGATTTTTTTTACACAATAACATATCAGGTGAATGCATAAATTATTACCAAATTTCAGGAAAGTTTCAAAGAAATATTCAAAGTAAAGATGATAAAGACTTTGAGTTAAATACCATCTTCAATTTTCACTTAAAGATAAGAAATTATACTACTTTAACAATGAAGCACATCTTGTTTGAAACATCCTTAGTGACAGAAAAAAAGAGATTTTGTAAAGGTAAGGGCATCAGTGACGTGCATTACAATGTCTTCGGTGGATTTAGCTTTGGGGTTATTTTAGGTGTCACATAAAACATTTTGAAACTAAGGAAACATGCTTTTGAGCCTTATTACGCTCTTTTACTTTTTAACTTTATGTCTAAAAATATTGGTACTTCTAGTAATTTGGACAATTGTTTGGTTTGTCAGGTTTCATTAAAAATGACTTATTTCCTCACAAACATTAAAAAAAATATATCTTCTCGTAATATCGCTGCTTCAAATCATAATAAGGTGGAATCTGGATCAGCATAAAAACAACATTTATGAACAAAATAATAATTTATCCCTGTATTTATTACAAATATTTATTTAATACTCATTAATAGTATTCTCTATTATTATTATGGTTTTATTCAAAATTAAATTCTTAAATTTCAAAGTGCTGTTTCGTTATAATTTCATAAAGTAATCTCCAGATATTAATTTACAATGCAACATATTATAATTAAGATATTTTTTAATTGTTTTATAATTATTGAACGATAATTATTAAACCATATTTACTTTCACAACAAATTTTACGCAAAAGTGTTTAATCAACACATGCAATTAAAATATTCATTACGAATAAATTATTTTAAGTTCTAAAGCAATATTGAAAATTATCTTTTCTACCTACTGCCAAGCATATTTTTAAATAAAAATTTTTTTTAACTAGCTTTTATGATTAGCAAAAAATAATTATGAATTTAAATACACATTTGTGTATGAAGTTGAAATGTTAACTGGGCATCACGATTATGTTTGAATTTTCTCCCCACAGAATCAGAATTAAATCTACTTAATACAGTAAAAAAAAATACTGGAATTCTTTTGCTTTGAATCATTTTTAATGTTGATGCAATAGATAACAACAGGGTAAAAATTTTGTGTCGCATTTATAGTAGTATTTGATCTAATCTAATTCGGCGTTTAGATTTTATCAAAGTGTACAAGTTGGGTACTTGTGTGTATATATATATATATATATANATATATATATTTGTCTTCAAAAATAATACTAAGACAAAAACGTACGACCTTATTTTATCGCATCATAAACAGAAATGTATTCTCACATTCTTCTTATCACGTCCTACGTACCAGAGAAGTGGGAACTCTTACTATTTACTCAAGTGACTTTTTTAAAACACCTAGTTTGAACTATATTATCAAAATATGTAAAAAATTGCAGCTTATATTTCTAGAAACCGATTGCAAATTCGAAATCAGTGATGCGAAAGTATCTAAGATATGTTAAAACATCTTATGCAACAGAAAAATCCCAATTATTCCCGAGTGATACAATCCCAGTATTCCGAAATTATTCCCATAGTCGAGAAACAAAACTGCTTTCGAAGCAATCATGGGGTAGAGATGCTAAGCGAGCAGGGGATAACACTTCGCATTTTGAAATAAAATGATTTCTTGCTAAATTGAAAGCACGGATTTGTATTCATTAAACATTTTCCATTAATAATAAATAAAAATATTCTTCTTCCTACATAAAATTGAATGCATATTTATGCATTTTGTGCACTATTAAATGCAACTTTATTAAAAGGAATAAACATTTATTCGGTTAACCTAACTTCATTAAATATTTTAGAACTGATTCTACATTCAAATGCCTTAGTTAGAAAGGCATCCAAAAAGTTGCATACTAGATTAGATGCTGGATTTTACGTCAAATGATTGTAAAATAACAAGATCACTTATCTTTATCGAAATTTATTAGCTTGATATTCGATAAGAAAAAGTCGTTTTCCAGTGGGATACGCACCACATTAGACTAAAATTTGTTATATTTTTATTGGCATCAGTTTAATCTTGGTCTGTTCAATTTTTTTCAGCATAAATTTCGGGACAATATGGCGTCACAGATATAAGATTAAGAATGGGATTTTACCTCTTGCGTGCTTTACAGATCAATTAAGCTCTTAACGGGTGTATTTTTAAATGAAAAAAAAGGTGAGTTACCTGATGAAGAATTCAAAAAAATTAGGCATTGCAAGAATTCGTCCTTGGCAGGTATCAGAAGATATATTGCTACACATGAATTTATTTAGTTTTTTGTTTTCATCCTATATAAACTAGATCACTTTAGTGAAGGGACACAGATTTGCTTCAAGACAGTAGATCAAGAGTCAAACGAAAATGCAATTCCTGGTATGTATATGTCTTCTCAGTTCCAAATCATAGCTAAAATTTCTAATTTTGGTAAAAGCAAAGCATTTTCAATCAAAATTGAACTCCGTTTGATTTCAATTTAGCTAGTGCCATATACCATAAATTTTGGTTATGAAAGTTTAAGTATAAAAGTATTTCCACACTTGCAACTACTTTATAAATATCTTTTAAAAAGAAATTAGTGATTTTGATGGAAGCGATTTTTGGAAAAAAAGTGCGTTATGTTTGATTTGAATTAGGATTGCTCTATATTCGCTATAAATTTTGAGAAAGTAAAAACGTTTTTCAAGCTTAAATATGTACATAGATTTGACAAAATATGGAAACACATCTAAACTAACTCTGTGTAAATAATTTTTTTAGCAGTAAGTGTTTTGGAAGATTTTATAGGGCAAAACTGAGGAAAAAATTTCATGTTTGAAGTTTTTAGAAATTGTATCCTTTTCACCTATGCATGATATTTACCCACCAAAATAAGCGCAGTAAGTGAAAGGTTTTTTTTTCCTTTTTTAATACCACTATAATTAGAAAAAAAACATTTTAGCATAAATATTGCACTGCTATAAAATATTTCAAAATTGTTTATATTAAAGCTAGAAAGAAGTTATTAACTGCCTCTCTTCATTTTGGTCAATTCGAACTTTGCATTAATAAATATAATCATCATTTTTAAAAGCTTCAAGCATGATTTTTCAATTTGCGCTCATTGGTTTGCCTTGTAAAAGTTTCCAAACCATTTGCTGCAAAAAAGAAATATTTCTTTTATGGAGTTTTTCTTGAAGTGTTTCCATATTTTCGTCGAACCCTTCCATAATGCTCCACTCATTTTTAAATCATTTCAGCGACATCAAGACAGCAGTATTTCATTCAGAAAATGAATTATATTTAATTTCAATCTGAATTGTTCTTTCTTCGTATGCAATTCGTTAAAAAATTCGCTAAGTGTAAATAAATCTTTTTAAAAGTTCAGAAACACGGCTATATCCCTAATGCAATATATTTTTTTCAATAGAAAAGGAACTATATTTGATTTCAATCTGATTTGATCTTCACTCGTATGAAGTTTGGATTTTTCAAAGTTTAAATAAATTTTATTAAAATTTAGGAGCAACAGTTTCATTCACTTAGGTATCAAGGGAAATATTAGTTAGTATTATATGTCCCACGGACTGTGATGATAGTTAATAAACAAAATGAATATAATTAAAATATTGATTTTACAAGAGCGCGAACATTTGTTTTTTGAATACGTAAAGTCCTATACAATATTTCTTAGTCAGTTTGAACTTTTTTAAAATGATAATATTAAATAGAAAAATGCAATATTTTTTGTTAATAAGTTACTTTGTTCAAGTGCGGTGATATAAACAAATATAATTGTTTTAAATAGAAAAGTTATATACTAATGTCTTTTTCTGCATCTGACTTTGAAAAATGCATCTATTTATCTAATAATTATGATAATGTTTAGATTCTTTCGTGAATTAATCAGACTATTTTCCACAAATTTTTTTTTTCCTAAACTATAATTACAAGTAGAAAAAAGTTTTATCCTGCCGTTATTCATAACTTGGTAGCATAAACCATTTTATTTATTTCTTCGTGGCTTAAGCAACTTCAAAAAATAAGCAATTTTTATGCATGCAATAGTTATGTCATTCTTTAATCCCATATTTTTGAATCTAAATTTTTACTTTCTGACTCAAGTACTCAAATATATGAATCAATATAATTAAACTCTCAAGTATAACTCACTCACTCAAGTATAATAAAATTAAAACAATGGAAACAGATTTGCGGCAATTCTGTGTCATTTCATTTTTTTTCAAAATTGAGTCTTTTTGTTATGAAAATTATATATTTATAGCAGGCTTGCTAAATGTGGTTCGTGAAGACTTAGAAATAACTATATGATTGATATCACGTGATTTTAATTTGAAAGAAAGAAATTATAAAATCATACATAAATTAAAATTTACTTTAGAAAATATGTATACTTAGCAATAAAAATTTTGCATGGAAAATAGGCATAACAAATAGTTTTTTTGAAGTGCAGTTTCTTTAGGTTCTTTGAAAGTTTTCCAGAGATCCAATTGTTTTTATTTTGATAAAATTAAAATTTTTAATCTGGTTATTTCTGGATAGTGTTTTTTCGACATCCTATTGTGTCTCAGCAGTACTGAAAATAATTTAGGTAGTAAATAAAATCCTTTTCAATTAAAGTATTAAATTACGAAGATTTTACCTAAACAACAATACAGTGGTCGCAGCGTTCTATACAAAATTAGAATGTGGTTGCCAATTTATTTTAAACTAATAAACGTAAGTTTTAACTTTATTTAAAGCTAGCAAACGATATAATTTTTTTTATTTAACTTTAGTTTAAAATAACAATGTTCTCAGTTATAAAAGTCAACATTATTGCTTAAATTGTGGAAATGTCGTAGTAGCTAAAATATATTGTATCATTCAAAAATAGGCAAAAATATTTTAATTTCATAACTTTATTTTTAATAGAACTCTGCGGGACCTGAAATATTTTTCATAGAAACGTTGGAATTAAATCAGCAGAGTATTACTTATAACCGGTAGTTTATATATATGTTAATAGAGTTTTAGTTATAATAGCAACCGTGGAACATTTTTGTAAAACATATTGTGTGCAAATTTAAAAATTATACATGTGTGACTACCTTTGGTAAAAGTAATCATTCAAACAAAGCAACCTTTTGAAGAAGCTGAATAAAATTTAATATATTTCGCATCTGGCAGAGTTCAAATATTTTATTTAAAAAAAGATATGCCGAAACCAAAATAAAGGAAATGAATGAAATGCAAATTTCAAACATTAATTTATTATAATAATACTATGTATTGAGTTTCTATGCAATGTCTTAAGTTGCAAGACATAACTTCGTTAGAATTAAAAAGTTTTTTTAAGAAAAGCTGTGCAGTTAATATGAAAAACTAATTATTTTCTAATTATGCATTTTACTTGAACATTGAAGTGGGAGCCACTTTTGAACGTTGAAGTGAAATGTTTAACGTCACTTCATCTCAGATACGTGGTTTTTACTCTCACATAAAGAGTTTATCTATAAGAATTTACAATTTAATTAATTCTTTTAGAATTAGAGGGAAGGAACTAAAATTTAATCAAAATAAAAGTGCTAAAGAAAAGCCTAAAAAATTATAACTTTCACAGAACTTAAACTAATTTATGCGGAGTATCCTTTAAGCAATGAAGTTGCTTCTTTTTTAAAAAAAAAGTAAAAAGTGGTAACACATTGCGTTTTATTATTAGAATTTATTTTTAATAATAATTAAGCTCTCGTCTATCATAATATATTACTAAAAATTATTTAAATTTGCATTAAGTTAAAGCAATATGACTTTTCAACGCTAAAATAGTGAGTTACAGCAGAAATTATCAAATTTGTTTAAATATATATATATTTCCCCTTTTTTTCAGAAAATCACTCTTTTTGCGGCAAAGTTTATGATTAAACATGGCTGCGTTAATTTATTTATTGTAGAATTATTTTTTTTTTTTGTGTTACACATTTAAGGAATTTAAAAATCTTCATTTTTTCAGTTGAGTTCTGTACTTTTCGCCACATTGTTGGTATGCTGCCTCGCAACTTACATTGTTTATGACCACGCTGATAATTACCATCATCCTGGCTACCCTCTAGTTTACAACTATGGTGGATATGGTGGACTCGGACACAGTCTTTATAACTATGGAGGACTATATGGTCATAACTATTTCAACAATGTCTATGATTACCTCTACAAGAAATAAATTGATTTGATGGTAAGATCTATTTTTCTCTCCATAATATGTACTTAAAATAGAATTGGTTTTTAATAAAACCTATGAAAGTTTCGCTATTATTTATGTTCTCAAATAAAACAAAGAACAAATTTAAGCTGCTTAATATTATTGTTTAGGTTCGTTTTAAAACGGATTTTTATAAATATGGAAAAAGTTAAGCATCATATTTATATAAAATCTGAAAATCTTCTTATTCTTTTGAATTAAAGTGTCAACATTTCTCTATTAAAAATTGGAACAATAAATGTTTGTTTGACAGCATCAAACAAACAAGTCCATCAAAATATATTGGGAAGAATAACTCATGCATTTTCACCGAAAAATGTTTTTCCTTTTTAAAAAAATTATTTTTATTATACAGGATTTTTATTAAAAATAAACGTTTACTTTATTAATACAACTTGCGTGATACTTTTTTTGAAGTAATTATAAATTTAAAATTATAATATATTGCCTTTATTTTAAAATAATATTCGGAAATGGTGTTATTCTTAGTATATTTGTTTTTCTCATTACCTAATGGCAATGATTTTATTAAATCTTGATACTATTAGAAAACTATACACAACTTTCATTTCTTAAATTAAAATAATTGTTTAAATTAAAATTATTGCTTTAATTAAACTAATTGTTTTAATTAAACTAATTGTTTTAATTAAACTAATTGTTTTAATTAAAATAAATATGGACAAGCTAGTTACTATTGGCTATCAGTTAATTTATTATCAAGGTGCACTTTTTAAATGTATTTAGTGATATTATATTGCAGAAAACTTATATTGCGGAAACTATCCCGTGCTGCAAGTTTTAAAAAATTATTATGAGAGAGAAAAACTCTACAAGCTAAATATACAACAAGAAACAAAATATACAAAAATCATTAAAAATTATATACAAAAATCCTTTTATGTCTCATGTTTAGTCAAAATAAATTTTTATTATTTAGTTTAATACTGGTCGAACAATGTTGAATTTCAAGAAGCATTTATATAATTTTAAACTGTCTATGCAATTTCAGCTTTCAAAACTTGAACACTATTAGTTGAATAGATGATGAGAAATGTAGATTAAAAAATACGACTTATTTGAAATTTTATGATTCAGTAACTATTTAATCAATTTCGCAAAAATTTCGTATTTTTTTTACATAAAATTACATTGTGTAAAATGAGGTAAAAGCTTGACAATACAAAACAATAACAAAAAATCGGCAGTTATTTAATAAAGAAACTATTAATGATTTTTAAATAATAAGAAATTTTTAAATGATAAGAAATTTCTAATATATAAATGAGTTTCATAACTTATATTTTCTAAGAAATTTTTAGAGGAAAGAGTTTTGTAGTTTTCTACAAAATATTTTGTATTCACTTAAATAACACCAGAGACAGACGATATACATAAATTGTGAAATAAGCATTTAGGTGCCCAAACTTTAGACAGCTCTTCTGTCTATTGGGACGCTGTTCTAGATTGCACCAACCCTCAATTTTAGAGAGTCAAAAATCTATGTCTGTCGAAAAAAGACATACTTTATTCAGGTTATTATTTGTTTCATTTTCTAACTTGAAATATCAGTAGTACAAATTATTTAGTACATAATCCATCTATCCATAAAAACTAAGTATTATTACGTGACAATCTGTTTATTTGATCAAAAGTTTTAATACGATTCTTTATTTTTATTTTACACATTGTACCCACAGTTTTATATTTCATAAATTTTAAATGCCTTTTTTAAATTTCTTTCCTTTTTTCAGGCAAACGATTTGGACCCTATTGCTGCGAAAAATGATTTCAATGCTTAGACAGAAAATTGAATATAATTGTTATATGTTCAGCTAAATCATTGTTATCTTTGTATATTGTTATTTCTTGAAAAAATTTACATTAATAAACAATTGCTTTAAAAATCTGAATGATCATTTAAATAGTCTTGATAGCATTTTGAATTAAAGAGCTCGGGGCACAATAATGATAAGTCAACGCTTTTCAAATGTGACATTTTTACATCAGTACTGTTTAATCTTTTCTCTTTAAAGGTACTTTTCACGTTCTAGCAATTTATATTAGATAATAGGGATATACTTGGAATCATTTATTGCATACTTAGAAAATGAGATTTTTCTTCTTCCAAACATGATTTTAAAAATCGATCTTCGGAAAAATTTGAAAAAGTGGCACATCATTATCCTAAGCCCTTTTAATTTCATTATTATATTTTTTGTCTTTTCTCAATAACTTTCATTTCAAGATAGAATAACAGCCCTAATAGACAAAGTGATATCTTTTATACTTTAGAGCTTATTAAATTATTTTAGATTTCGTAACGTTTGAAGAAGTTTTGAACTAACTATACAAATATACTTAAATTGTTATTACATTGTAGTAAGTACTATGTATCATTTTGCTCGGATAAATGCAAATAATTATGATATAATTTTTTTTATTGGAACTATGAAACCAGAACTGGGCAAGACTGATAAAGAGGTGAATATTTTGCTTTATCAAATTAAAATTTTATTATTTTCTCATAAATCTCATGAATAAATATTTTATCTTGCATATTTACCAAACCATCTCTTCACAATATTTAAATTGCTAGGGAAAATCAAATATCTTTTATTTTCGCCAAGACAAAAAACATAATCGTATGGTTATATGATGTCTGTTTGAATTGATACTTGTCAAAATCGTTGAATCATTTTGAGAAAAAACTTCTTATACTAAAAAACAAGCTTGCCACAGGTGACTAAAAATGCAATATTTGGTGACAAATAAAATTCAAGACTTCATTAAAAGAGATTAAAATTAAAAATTTTTGCTACCATATTTTTTTTCCAATTTACTATTAAAAGTGAATTTCGAGAAAGATTTTGTTGTTGTTGTTGTCGGCTGCCATTAAGGCAGAGGCTATGCGATTTTTCTTGTTTTCCAGTGGCACCATCTATTGCTTTAACTTCTGCCATTCATGCATCCACAGATCGTAATTTTGACCTGAACCAGAGAGAAATCAATCTCCATTTCAGTACCCCCAGAGGTATTGATTTGTCTTGGGAATAATACTTTGTGACCAGATATATTTAGCGTACACCAGTTACCATTTACTACATGGGAAGTCTTCAGCCAGCTGAATTCGAACTCCCGTTCTCACAAATGTGAGTTCAGCGTTTATCCGGAGCTTTAGCTCTACTGAATGTAGCAAAAGTTGAGATACGAGCATCAAAATAATCACCCATTTCTGCCTTAGTTCTGGATTCAACATAGCGATTTTAAAAATTGGCAAGAAGAAGAAGAAGAGCTCTAGAGAAAACCATGACCATCTTCCATACTGACCAAAGTTGTCCCGCCCATGAATATGCCTCGTTTGAGGCCAGAAAAAAATAACTCGGAGGTGAATGATCTGGAAAAATGATGCTATTGAGGAGTATGTGAGCAATTTTTCGAATACTGTTCTCAAACAAAGAATGTTGGAGACAGCAGATCGTTCACAAAAGTAAGTATCCCGGGAAAGGCGCTATGCAAATTATAACTTAAGGTTTCACTAGTTTATTAAACAGAAATTTAAAAAGAAAATTTCCGAATATATTTTATAACCACCCTTGTTTTGAAAAGAAATTGTTTTCTTGTGATTTATGCTGCGTTTTTGTGTTTGTAATGCTGACTTTTCAATGAAGTTTGTGCTTTTAAAGCTATGAAAGTGTATAAATACAGCATTACAGGACTAAATGTACAAAAAAGAAGAAGAAGAAGAAGCAAATCATCCTTATAACTATTAAACGGTTGCTCGAACTTCATTCTGTAGTTCAATATCTCAAAAAATATGATTACGTTTAACAGTTAACTTTTACTGTGGAGGAATATGTTGACCGAAAAACGCACTTCCTCTCAAGAAATATATAACTTTTTTATTGCCTTTGATTTGGAATACAAAAGTAACCTTTAAAACCAAATGTCATTAAATTTTGACATCTATGGGGCCTGCAAAGACAAATAAAAATATTTGGTAGAAATTGATTTTTGTAAAGCAGGACTCAGGAATTTTTTTCCAACAAACTTATCGAATTGTACAATTAATTGAATATAATACGGAATTTCTACTTTATGATTAGCTTTTATCTTGACGAAATGTTAGTTACTCACGAAATTGACGAAATGTTAGTTGAGGGGATATTTTGAAACTGAAGCAAAAAATCCTAAATTCGAGTAATGAATAGCTATTTACCACATTTTCATTTTTAAAATTATTGAATACACGAACGTCTCTTATTTTATCAAGCAACTAATTAAATAAAAGATTAACTCTTTAATTTAACGACAAACTCGAATGCCGCATAATATTAAGTATTGCCATTTGGCAATCTAATCTCAAAATGGCGTTTCCTTCTCAATACCAATAATTAATTCCTTAAATTGATTTTTAAGCACTTTTTTGCTGATCATATGGCATGAAAATCTAGATTTAGTATTAAAAAGTTCTGAATACATAAAAATATTTTTAGCTTGCAATTCAAAATCTTTTTCATTATTAACAAATTAATTAATAAAAATTATTTAGTTCGTTTAAATTTCCCATAATGCAATCTATTTGTCTTTGAGTCAAGGGCTTACAATTTTTTCTGAAAGAATTATTATAGTTTAACCTATCTTTCAAAAGGTATTAAGAGAAACGTGACGCATAAAAATAACATAAGCATAATAAAACTTTGAACCGTTATGGCTGTAAAATCACGAAAGCCAGCTTTTTAAAACTGCGTCTCCCCCAACTTTGAAAGTAGGAAACCCGAATTTGCGGAAATGAAGGTGTGTTTCTTCAAAAAAAGTACGTATTTCCGTCAAAATAAATACATTTCGCAACGTTTACAGTTAACTGTTAGACAAATTTTAAAAGATTTCTCCAAGATATTGTCAAAGCACTTTACAAAATGAGAATCCGTAAAACCTTTCAAAAGTTTTAATTGTAATTCATTTTTTTTACTGTACAGTACAGTGCCATTTAATAATTTTGATTTAATGTGTTCTGGTTTTCATATTCTGAAATGCAAACTTAATGGTTCGAGGAGACGATATTTTAAGAAATTGAGGCGATATTTTAATGCGTTTAGACGATTTTTTAAGTTATAAAATCAGATACAAAAAGATTCTTTCTCTGATTTAATATACCTGTATCTGAATGATTTCTATTCTTGATACACAAAAGAAGGGGAGTGGGGACTACAATTTCGTAAGTTAGGTACCAATAGTTTATTCAGGAGAGCGATTGAAGTTGGATACTTTTAATTTCAAATTTTGCTTACTTCAGCATATCAAAAGCAAATCAGAAATAATTTTTATATTCAAACTTGCAAAGCTTTTTTGAAGTTATACTTCTTATGCGACTTCCAACAAGGTTGCGTTAAACGGTTAACGCAACATTTTTATTGGCCGGGAAATCACGTGGTAGGATCCAGTTCTCCCTCATTCATTTCCATATTGTTTTGGTTCTCACTAGCATAAAAATAATAAAAGTCATAAAAGTATTGTTTTTCTATAAATATTTTTTTAGTTTGTTTTGATACACATATAATTTAATAGGGTAGTATTTTTTATTTTCAAATTTAGTGGATAACAATTGTAAAAAATGAGTGAAAACAATCCCACGGACAATGCGACGGATTTAAGGTTATGTCAAGGTACGTCTCTTGTGAATATCAATTGATTGTTAGGTTTTCTCTTCTGAAATTACATTATGACGCATTCACATACATTATTAATACAAATACATTTTCCAGGGCGAAACGATGAGGCAACCACAAGCACTTCCACTGGTTCAAGAAGTCCACGAGGGAAAAATGCACAATATTACCGTGATTACAGAGCACGGAAGCGAGCGGAGCTGGAAAAAGAGTCGTTGAATAGAACTAGTGATCCTTCTACGACTGCTGATTATTCTACAATTAACGTCGCAGGTTGCGAAGTTTAACTTTTTCCGCTCGGAGGGACTCCACGCACTATTTTTTTTCCAGTTATTCTCGCGAAAAATACTTTTTTAATCAATTGTTATTTAATTTATTAATTAAGTACGTGCAACTCGAGCAGAAGTGAAGTGATTATGCCTAATCACATGATTTAATTGGATACTTGTAAGCGACGTCACGTGTGTATGTCGGATCTGATTGACTTCTGAATCTACAAATCCCACGATCTACGTACGATGACATAGCGATCTACGTACGATGGCGCAGGTATCCAATTATAGAAAAAAGCTTAAATCGTAAGACTTATACATTCATATCTTATTTAAAACTATGCAATTTTGCATGACAAAATTCACAACTAGAACGAAATTTGTATAGTAGCTCTTAATAAATAAATTAAAATGGCGATTTTAATTCTTAATCATTTTACAACAGCTTGTAGTACGCGCTGTCATAACTTCTGCCCCTACGTTTCTTATTAATATCTATAGAGACGATTTTTTTAAAAATAAAACAAATAACCTGGAATGGAAAGGTTTTTTATAAAAAAAATATTACGTATTGTTTGAAAAAAGGTGTTTTTATAGCTATTGAAATTCTGGTTTTTACAATAATACGCATACATAGAACATACGCGTAAATTTCTTCAAAATTCTTTTAAAGGCCAAGTTAGTCCATTGTACGAAATCAAGGATACAATTTCTTTCAAATAGTAAGCTCTAAGCTAATACCAAAATAATTTCCATGTCGGTATATGCTGTTTAACTCACCATTCTATTGTATTTTTTACAGCCATCATTAGCAGCTTATTAAAAAATATTTTCTTCTAAAAAAATCATTTTTATGGAAAGACTTTGAGACTATGAATGTTACTGTTTGCTTAAACATATGACCTTTAAGATAATATCCATAATTCAAGTAGCTTCACCTTTTTCACCATTGCCAAAAACTGGAATTATCTC